TACCACATATTTTTCTCGTAAATACTGTTTGAACTTGTCGCCGTTCGATTGAAAAACAAGAGTTTATTAACTTCCTAGATTTTTAATATTTGGCGCTGTCTAGGTCCTGCACTCTAAAAAGCTTAGGTTAACCGACACTTAATACTTCGGCTATCTTAAGGCTTTGGTGTATATGTTGTTGGGAAAATTTGCTTATCTTTGCATGGTCTATACGTTCTGTAAAGTCCCAATCCCTTAAATTCAAACTTTGAAGAGAAAGAAAAATTATAATTTGTTTAAAAAAATTGCTAAAACAAATCCCTTTGAGTTACCACTCATTAACCTCATGATTCATAATATGGCACCTCTAGCAAACGTGATTATGAGGAACAACTAGTCGGATAATTTCTCCCACGAGACTTATGTCTTGTCCCTGAGAAACAAGGACTTACTCTCGATTGTTGAAAATATTCTCGTAAGGACAATTATTAACACACCTTGAAAACTAAATCCGCACAGTGGCAGGACGAGTTCCAAATGCTCTATTCAATCGAACGCCGGACGCGCCTATCCATCTTGTGCCAGAACGACGTACGTTTGTCCCGGCAAAAAAATATTCAGGATGTTTTCTATTGTCACCTCCAGGTAGAACCACTGGCCACAGCGATGCTCCAATAATGGGATAATGAGCTCTTGCTGCTCTCCTCCGCTTATCACGAACCGCTAAGTCGAAAATTTTACCTGACCAAGGTCGGAAGTAACTACAAGTATATTGATTTAGTAATTATCCAAGCCATAAGCAAATATGACAATATTAGGTTTGAATTATCGCGACATTATGCCCGTCTGCCTCCAGTTCAAACGTTGATGACAGTGGTCAACAGTCAGAGGAAGCACTAACCGTGGATAGTATGGAAAAGGTTCAAAGGCTCGAATGCGGCGATAGAATGTACGCATAGTAACAGGTCTACCTTCTTCTCCAAACCATTGGTCAGCAATCTGAATCGTAGTAACGAAACGGTCTCGCAGGGCTAATTGTTTGAAGCGCTTCTGTCTTGATGCTCCGTGATACGTCACGATGGATCAATTGGCCTTCTTCGTGTTCCTCTACCTTCTTCTATCCATACATGACACATGCATTACCAGTATTGCAGTAAATTGATAAGGCGACCAATTTCGCGCTAGGACAAACCAACATCTCGATAGGCAATAATTCTACCCCTGTCAAAGTCGCTAACATGGTGATAATTTTTACGTCTTCGACCTCGAGGCGTTTTGTTATTCTTAACACTAGTAAATGAAAGGGCAATAACTAAAAATATCTGTACTAGCCAGCTCTTCGAAACTGCTTTCTTCACAAAAACTAAGAGATACCATTTTAACAAAGTAAACAAAAACAAAGATAAAACGTTTGACATTGTTGCCACAGCATGCTTTAAATATAGTCATTATCTTGCCAAAAAACAAGTTGAAGAAATTATTTTTTCTGGGTCTAACACTTCTTATATCGCTAAGTATAAATAGCTTTTCTGGACGTTTTCGTACTCTCCGTTATTCCCTATTCCTATTACGCTAACTTTACCACCCGCTGTGTATAAGTTGTTGAACACAAGGTGACGAGCATGCGAACTATACATACATATTTTTCCGTTGCTAGATAACGACGATAACGTGTCGCAGATAATATTTTGTATCAATCTGGTGCATAATAAACGCTTATGTGCCTTGCTGTGTTTGAGGCCGTGATGCTACGCGCACTAGGCTCAAATCATACGCTTCGAGTTAGAACCCCCTCTTTGCGCCCTAGATACACAAATAACTATTTGTTCTTGGAAGGTACTCCACAATATTTACTCCGAAAAGTTTATTCTCGTATGTCAGTAAATCCAACAATCCAAATACATACCCCTATTGGCAAATAATTCAAAAATTCCACAAAATAATTAAATTCTTGTGCGTCAAAGAAGAAAATAATTGTGTTATATCTGTTGGGCGCACTGTTCGAAAACGGCCAATCGTTTTTTTGCTCAGTCTTAGGATTGGACTATTTAAAACGACCATAGCCCGAAGTTCATTTCAATTTCGGGCTTTGGCCGTCTCCAAGAAGCCAAACCTAGGATCGTGCAAATACGAAACGACCAAAGCTTAACATACATTTTTAATGAATCAATAGAAATTAGGTAGCATTCAAAATCTGTGGAGGGGCCACAACTAAATTACGTAACGAAATTATTTCGACATGTTGATCCCATCTCCCCTCTATTACTTCGTAACACTTTTGGCAACCCTCCTTCTAAAATTACATAACACTTTAAAAACCAACCCCTCTTTTTTATTAAAAAAAAATAAAAATTACACTCAACTGCAACGCGCATTTTATTTAATGGGTATAGTAGTTCCGGAAACATTTTTTTGGTATAAATTTGGCAATAAAAAAAATATATGGAGAGGCCATCGTGCAATGCACAATTTATTTTTCCGTGCATATAAACATCTTACATAACATGACTACTTAAAATAGAAATACAGAAATAATTAGCAAACATAAACGGCATAAACTTCTATGTAAAAACAACATTTATAGAACTAAAGAAAACAAATACTCGTATTAATTATTTATTTCTGCAACTCGATGATGAGTGGCGTTTTGAGTTTTGCATCTCACCTCTTTTTTTAAACAATTGCATCTTTTGTTTGCGCAATTGTTTTTACAACCACTTCTCACAAAACCTTGCTTTGATTGAGAGTCTTTAGCAGCGACAGTTCTTAGTCTTAACTTTTTTTCCAGAACATTCTGCATGTCTATGAACCTATGCTACTTGGAATTCTTTTCTTCTTTTTCAAGTACACCTGATAGTGTTCCAAGCTGATAGAGGTTTACTGTCTTCTTTCCATTCTATAACAACAGCCATCACGTTTCTTGGTGCAGCACGCCCTCTGTCTACATCTGGAATTCTAACCAAAACGTTTTGCCCAACACTAACAGGAGCAAATTTTTTGTTGGACCTCTGCAGCAATTCATCGTCTTGCCTTTTCTGGGAAGCGGATAATGGTTCACATGCTTTGGTAATTTTTCCTTGTCGAATGCAAATCATACATGGTTTTTTTGCCTAAAAAATATAGATGGGTAGTAATTCATTTGAAGTTTATTTATTTCTTTTACTTAAATAGTTCAAATATCACTTACTTCTTTTTCTTTGGCTTGATCACTTGAGGTTTTGTATGATATTGCATGATTTTCCTCTTCTACCTCTGAGCTGTTAGAGACGTCTCCATTAGCATTGTCATTCAATATGTTTTCCAGCTCTTCTTCTCCAGTAATATTTTGAAGGACCTTACGAGGTATATTTGAATCGAATAGGCCATTACGTATAGGGACCCTAAAACATCACCTCATACGGACTTCTGTTTGTACCTCTATTGAATGATCTGTTTTTTCTTTAGCTGAACAAATCGCAATCCGTTAGCCCAATTAGTGCTCTTGTTATCTGCCATCCAAGATACCAAAATATCCCTAACATCCTGGTTTGCCCTTTCTACACTTCCCTGGCTTTGACAGTGCCTTGGTTTACTGTGAATTATTTTAGCTTCGAACATATCAGCAAGCTCATTAATGACAGCTGCTGTGAACTATCTTGCATTGTCACTTTGGAGGATGTAAGGGGCACCTATTATACAAAAAATGTCTAAAAAAATTTTAAGCTACCTCCGCAGCTTTTTTAGATTTTAAAGGTTTTAAAAACATAAATTTTGTCAGATGGTCCTGATAATTTAAAATAAACTTATAATCTTCGGCTGGTATTGTTTGCATATCTATAAGATCCTCCTGCCCTCTTGAGTTCATGTTGTTGCTCAAAATTGGCTTGGCCCTTTCCTTTATGTTTTTTCTTCAACTGGCATTTTCCACATTAGCGTAAATAAGCATCAATTATATCACGCGTAATATTACATTTGAATTTCGGGCTTTGGTCGTTTTAAATAGTTCAATCCTAAGATTGAGCAAAAAAACGACCTTTGGCCGTTTTCGGGCTTTGCGCCCAACATATATACCTGTGATACATATAAAACGATAATATATAAACATAATAGTAAAAATGGTAAAATATGACAATCAAATTTAAATAGTCTTTATTTGAAACAGTTTCGGTATTTCACGTCTAATTTCAGGCAATGCCAATTTCATTGGCTCAATTTTGAAAGGAATGGTTTGGCACATTGTTGTACTAGAGAAGTAATCGTAGCTCCTCTGACCCACAATTTTTGCTGTGAAGAGTGCCTCTTCAATGTTAACAATGATATAAGATATGTCCTGGTTTTAATATGCTTGACAACAATTTTGTAAAAAACGATATCATTGTTATACTATTCTACGCAGGCGTGCGATAAATCGAGTTGATTTCCTACACACTGATATAAAGCTGCTTGATACTTCAGATACCCAAAGATACTAAATTACATTGGTGACACGTGAAATATGAGAGTGAAATTACCCCTTAACCCTGTTTTTCGTTGAACATTTTAACCATTGCGACAAAGTTTTGACCATGTTCTAAAACAGAACGTTGAACTATATTTAATAATGAAACTTGTGTTTTCCGGACATTAATAATAATAAAAATAATAATAATCGTCTTTCTGGACCTTGATAAGTTACTATACATTGGACAGCGTCACCTGAACAGATAGAAAAAACAAATGTGAAAGAAATAAATGAAGTTAATAATAATTGAAATGAATAATGCCGGCGCAGCTATAAATAAGGGAATCGTGAATAACACGTAGTACACAAAGCAAACAGACTTTTTGCTATTCTGATTTTTTTATTCAACTGACCGATTCCTAAGCTAACTTACACTATTTTCCTCCAGGGTGCACCAGGAGCTCCCAGTCCATATCCTCAGAACCAAGGGGGAGCACCGTATCCCACACAGAATCCCCCCTATACCTCAGCAGGTCCAGTAAACCCCAACGCATTCGGCTTCAGTTCTGGAACCCCCATGTACATGCCGCAACCCATGCCCATGCCAAGTTACCCACCTTCGGCTCCATCTCAAGGGGGAGGATACCCCCCTGCCTCATCTGGAAGTGGGTATCCTTCAGGACCTCCAAGTGGAGGTTATCCACCTTCAAGTGGAGGAGGTTATCCACCGTCAAGTGGAGGAGGTTATCCACCGTCAAGTGGAGGAGGTTATCCACCGTCAAGTGGAGGAGGTTATCCACCGTCAAGTGGAGGAGGTTATCCACCGTCAAGTGGAGGAGGTTATCCACCTTCAAGTGGGGGAGGTTATCCTCCTGCCTCAAATACTGGAGGATATCCACCATCAAGTGGAGGAGGTTACCCTCCAGCCTCAAATACTGGAGGTTATCCACCTTCAAGTGGAGGAGAATATCCTCCAGCTTCTTCTGGAGGTCACAGTTATCCTCCTGGGAGTTATCCTTCCTCTGGAGGAGGTTATCCACCTTCCTCTGGAGGAGGTTACCCACATTCCTCTGCTCCTGGTGCTCCTCCACATCATGGACCATATGGAGGGTCGCCCTATGCCCACCAAGGTGGAATGAATACAAGACTGAAGGTACGGTAATGTGAAGTACTTTGTCGGGGAATTTTGCTTTTTTGTTGTTTTGGGAAAATGTCTGTGTGATGTTCTATGCAATCTTCTTTAAATAACATTACGTTCAGGTGATATTACTTCCCTAATATACCGGTTGTTTCAAATTCTGCCCTCAACATTGTGACTTCGAAAACGGTAACAGATACAAAGTCGTTTAAATGGGGGCAAAGTTGCTCATTCAGGTAACTAAGAAAATGGAACTTCCCAAAATCGTCTGTATTTTTCCTGATTTTATTTGAGATGGGATTTTAAAGTAAAAGCTACAGTAACACTGCCACTTTTTATCCTCTACAAGATGACATAATTAGTATTTCAACATGACGTTTCGTCTCTTGTCTTCAATCATCGTCCTTATTATTTCTTATAGACGCGATTTTCGCACATTTGAATAGAATTTCTGAATTCCGATTCCAAAATTCTATAATATGGCGTACATTGACATCCCCAAACCTAATTTATTTCAAAATAACTGGTATTATCATAGTTGGCTTTGAAAATGATTGTTAATCACATGTTTATCCGACTGAATCACCAATGCTGCTAGTTTAAGCGTGTTTAAAGGACATTCTGATAATTTGCTCATTTATCGACTACAACAAGCGTTATTTTAGCACGATGGAGGGGCATCACTCGTAGATATAATGATAGCATATGAACGCGAGATCTGTGCATCGATTTAGATATGACAGATATGAAATATGTTTAGGCAGTGGCTTTTCTATGTAATAATAGACCACTTGACACGTTGACCGCGATGGTGTAGTGCGTCATGTCTGGGCTTAGCGTAGAACGTCGAGTCGTATGAGCGAGAGTCGTAAGGACATCTCTACCTTCTTCATCGTACGTGATGATGATGCAAATCAGCACAGCAAAACTATTAGAAGGTGGCAAAACTTGAACAATATGAAAATATTTTAGCATGAGGTTGCTTTTTATTCGATAAATAAGTTAAGACCAACTATAGAAAGATTACTTTTTTAGATTCTTGAAGTTTTATATCCATCCATGTCATTATATGTACAAAGGCACATCATTAATATCGGATGTGGGGCTGTTCACCTATGCTTAGTTCATAAAAACCGAAGGATGGCTGATGAGATTATGAACTAAGGTTTGGCAATGTCGATGTATGGCGTATTATACATTTTTGGAATCAGGATTAAAAACTATTCAACTGTTCAAAAATCCAATAAGAAAAAATCCCTTCCGAGATCCCAATGGTGAGAGTCGAATTTGAAATTTCCGGTATATATACTGAGTAACAGGAAAAAAATTAATTACTACAACGCTTTTTGTATATTTTATGGTTAAAGTATTTACTTAGCTAGTTTATAGATTAGCTGGATAGTATGTAAACTATGCAAAGGTATGGTTATTTTGATCGAAAATCATAGATTCACTAAAATAGCTACTACTATTGGTTGGTTTGTATACTATTCAGTTAGTGTATCAAATATACAAGATCGCCAAAGTACAAACCACAAGAAACTAACCAGAAATTGTGGCTAGGTCACAAGCTATCCACAGTAGTTGGATAAAGTAATATATAATAACCAACTCGTTGGTTAGATTGTAAACCAACCAATCCTCTTTGGCTAATCTAGTTTAGGATAGTAAAATAATTCTCTATCAAAAATATATTTTATTTTTCGGTACAACGTAACATTTCTCCTACTACTCTAAAATAAGAAAAAAGACCAGAAAGAGTATTTGCGTGGCAAAATATTCATAATAAACCCGAAAACATTGAAGTTCTGAAACAAAGAACATTATTATTTATTGGAGCAAGTTGCACTGTTGCGGCACTTACTGTTACAAGTATATCCGGTAGCAAAACATTTACACTTTTTATATATGTAAATCATAAGTATTTATCACATAATAATCATTCTTCTTTTTATGGTTAGGTCCAGCTTGACGTATTCTCTTTATACGTTGCAAAAGTTCAGTATAATCACTATCATTCATTAATTTTGAATTCTGCGACCTTTGGTCATAAAGTTCCAAGAGTATTTTTTCAAATTCTTGCTGTTGATTTATTTTCAATAGCTGGATGCTTATTTAGGAACGAATTTCACAAGATATGATACTAAGCAATAACAAATGCTTGCTACAAACCACCTACAAACCTCACTTTTCCAATAAATTAACCAGAGGATTACTTAGTTTACAATACTATCCAACGAATTGGTTATTATAAGGGTGTCCCAGAAGTCGACGTCAAGCCGAAACCGGGTGATAGGCAAAGTCATAACAGCTATCAGAAAAATATTTAAAAAAATTTTATGTATGTGTTTTGAAAATTATAGGTCTTTGAAAAAGATATAGAAATTTCACACCCTACGGCAGTCTGTCAACTCCTGTTACTACAAATATTAACTTTTTTTGGATTTTATTTTTACAATGTAATGATAAATAATGCATCTTCAAACTGGTGTCTCAACCTTACTGCCAACTTTTCTCGTTCAGGAAAAATTGCCACTTATTTCCCAACCAAGTATTCCAAAGTAAAACTTTGCTCAACTTTAACTGGCTGTACTGGAAAAAAATGTACTACGAGAGTTTGGCAGGTAACCTTAAAAGTTGGCGCATTTAATAACGATTCCAAAATGATATAACACTTAGAAGATTACTCGTTAACTTATGCACAATTTTTGTTTGAAAAAAAACTGATGAAAATTTTTCAAAATTTCATAATTAAACAGCGATTAGGAAAACGCACAAGGACCCTTAAGGATAACTGTTTGAACAACAGTGGGCATCAAAATGCTGCTGATGATGATTTACCTTTACAGCAAATGCTCAAACTGTTTTCCTTCAGCCGCAATACACGCTCGACATCTTCTTAAAAAAGATCGGGTTATTAAACGAGCGAATCCACGGTTATTAACAAACTCAGCTGCTTCCAATAGTCTTTGCCGTAGCTCAGCTACATTTTGAATCGGCTTGAAATACACTTTTTCTTTTACAGTTCCCCAGTAAAAAAATCTAAAGGATTCAAATCAGGTGATCGGGCTTTCCACGGTATTGTACCAGACCGCCTTATCCATCTGCCTGGAAAGTTTTGATCGAGATACTCTCTCACTGAGAGTGCATAGTGCGCTGGGCAGCCATCATGCTGAAACCACATGTCCCTGTAAATACTCAGTGGCACGTCCACCAATAAATTTTGTACATGATTTTTCAAAAACTCCAAATAAACTTCAGCAGTCAAAATCTCTGGGAACTCAAACGGACCGATTATTTTACCATTTAAAATTCCTCTCCAATGGTTTATCTTGAAGCGATATTGAGATTTATCTTCTCTCATCAAATGTGGGTTTGCTACGTACCACTCGTGTAAATTATGCAGGTTCATGTGCCCATCTTTCTTAAATGTGGTCTCATCCGACAATAAAATTTTTTCAAAGAACTGTGGATCTTTCCTGTGTCTTTCTAACATTGTGCGACAAAAAGCAACTCGGGGCTCATAATCCCGGGGCAGGAGAGGTTGAACACGCTGTATGTGGTATCAGCAGCATTTTGACGCCCACTGTTGTGCAAACAGTTATCGTTAAGGGTCCTTGTGAGTTTTCATAATCGCTGTTTAATTAGGAAATTTTGAATAATTTTCATCAGTTTTTCTTCAAATAAAAATTGTGCATAAGTTAACGAGTAATCTTCTAAGTGTTATACCATTTTGGAATCCTTATTAAATGCGCCAACTTTTAAGGTTACTTGCCAAACTCTCGTAGTACATTTTTTTCAAGTACAGCCAGTTAAAGTTGAGCAAAGTTTTACTTTGGAATACTTGGTTGGGAAATAAGTGGCAATTTTTCCTGAACGAGAAAAGTTGGCAGTAAGGTTGAGACACCAGTTTGAAGATGCCTTATTCATCATTACATTGTAAAAATTATATCCAAAAAAGTTAGTATTTGTAGTAACAGGAGTTGACATACTGTCGTAGGGTGTGAAATTTCTATATTTTTTTCAAAGACCTATAATTTTCAAAACACATACATAACATTTTTTTAAATATTTTTCTGATAGCTGTTATGACTTTGCCTATCACCCGGTTTCGGCTTGACGTCGACTTCTGGGACACCCTGTATATAACTAGGAATGCTGAGCTCACACTTTATCTGCCTACTGTGGATAGCTTGTGAACTAGCCAAAAATTCTTGTTAATTTATGTAATACCTGTATTGTTGAAGTTTTTACTTTGGCGTTAAATCTTGTACAGTTTATAGACTAACTGGATAGTGTACAAACCAACCAATATTCGTAGCTATTTTAGTGAAAAGTTGATTTTCTATCAAAGTAACCAGACATATGGATAGCTAGTCTATAATCTACCTCAGTAAGTACTTTAACCGTAACATATGCGTAACATAGATGTCTTACGGTTAGGTAAGTGATTGACGAAAATATCAGAAAAATCCAAGCGTTAAAAAAAATGGAAAATATTAATAATTTGTTGGATCTCCATGATGTCTTATGCACTCAGAAATAGTCTGGGCATACACTCCTAATTAGATGATTTCCTCTTGAGGTATCTCATCCCCAGCTAATTGTGCCGAAGTGCTGCTGGAGTCTGCGGAGGATGGACTAATATTATCCCAGACGTCTTCAGTGGGTGAAAAGTCGGAAGACCTAGGGGCAAAGACAACAAATCGACTTGATTGTCTTCAAAACAGACCAACGTAATTCTGGCTGTATGTCATCGCGCATTATTTTGCTGGAAGAATGAGTTGGTGAGAGTCCATATATAAGACGAAACACGTGCTTTTCTCACCTCATAGATGCAACGTACGACCGCCAGTTGCCTCTGATGAATACCAAAAATGACCTATAAGCAGTAGCTCCCGATACCATAATTCCAACAGTGTCGTGCACATTCGTTTCCGTTAGAAATTGAGATTCACGTCTTTTACCTCGTTGCCTTCTCGTCTATCAAATACAGTGGTATTCCGTTCGAGGCC